ACTTAGTACTTATTAATCGTACTTATTTTAGCATGACTTAGTACTTTTAGATTATGTTTATTTTTATTATGGCTTATTAATTAGCAATATTTATTTTATGCATTTGTTGAGTATTTTAGTATAATCATGATCACCTCACATTAGTTTGTATTATTTTATTGGGTAACATCTTATATAATTTTATCCTACTAGGACCTAAGAAATATTAGAACACAAATTATATATTTTATGCTATGAAGATTTTGTCAGAAAAAATCTGAAAAATCCGAGAAAACAGAAAAATACGAGAAAACTCGACTTTTGTTGGTTTGATTTGGTTTATAGATTAAAAATCTGAGATAATTAGATTGGTTTGATAATTGAAAAACCCGAACTAACCTGGCCTATGTACACCCCTAATGATAAGTGTTGGTATGCGAACAAAGTCCCACATTGGTAGCTAGAAAGATTGGGAGTCTACATATAATGTGTGGAGATCTCTTAATGGTGTGAGGCATTTTTGGGGGGAAACTGTGCGAGTTTGGCCCAAAGCGGACAATATCACACCACGTTAAGAGTGTATTTGGGCTAGTTTAGCCCAACATCTAGTATTAGAGTCCAAGTTCGGCGTGACAAGTATGAAAATGGCAAAGTGATACCGTGAGACGCGGTTTGGAGACGCGCACACAAGAAGAAGCTAGTTGCGAGCTTCATTTGCCATAATACTCTAACAATGTGGGGTGGAACACAGTGAATCTCGGAAATAGACATGTGAATTGTGGTAGTGAGCCAAGTGAAACTTAGTTCAAGGGGGAGATTGTTGGTGTGCGAAAAAAGTCCCACATTGGTAGCTGAAAAGATCGAGAGTCGACATATAAGGTGTAGGGATCTCTTAATAGTGTGAGGCCTTTTGGCTTATAGGAAAAATCGTACGGGCTTGGCCCAAATCGGACAATATCACACTATGTTAAGAGTGCATTTGGGCTAGTTTAGCCCAACAATAAGTATGGTATGTATAATTTAATAGGAAAATATAGTCTAATATCTCTATAACAACTATTCTCTACAATAACACTTTACTATAATGGCCAAGTTTTCTTTGGAACTAATTTGTCATGTTATGTTATACTCCCCTCATTTCAATTTAGATGATGTAGTTTGACTCAGCACGTAGTTTAATGATTTTTTTTTGAAACTTGTGGTCTTAAAAGCTTAAGGGGTAAAAATTTTGTGGGGCCTTGACATTTGTGTGGTAATAAAAGCTTTTCATTAAGGGTAAAATGGATAAAATAAAGAGTTTAAAGTTAAATTATTTCCAATTATAGAATTGTATAATTCTTTTTGGGTATGACTAATAAGGAAATTGTATCATTTAAATTGAAACAGATGGAGTAATATATATCTTTAATAAAAGTACTTCACTATAACAGCCAAAAAATATTGAAACAACCGAACTGTCATAGAGATTTAATTGTTGTTGTCAATGTTTCTAATTTATGGCAATACTAGGGTAGATAAAGAGCGCCCTCGAGTTACAAGTCTAGTGTTAGAATATTAAGGGTCAATTTTATCTTGTGTAACATTCTTGGTCCATTCATACATATGTCATTAGCAAGTCTTCTCATAGTTGCCTTTGTTATTAATGAATTTTTGCGTGAAATGGATATTAGATTTCTACGTATTCAATTTTTTTATAGAGAAAATCCAACTTTACCCCTTAAACTTTTGATTATCGTTTAAAATTATCCTCAAGTTGAAATTTCATTAGTTAATATTAGATCAAAAGTCTAATGAAAATAAAGTTACTCAATTTCAGACAACACATGAACAAGTTTGACCACTAATTATATGGCTATACTTTCTAATAGTAAAATTTATTTTCATGTCTTCTATTATCGCTTGGATAAATTGTCACTCCAAAAAAACTTTTTTTCGTTATGAATATAAGTTTATTTTTTTTAGCTAGAAGATGACGTTATATTTATTATTTGTTCATGAAGCGCAATTTTGATCAGTAATAGTTACTATATGAGTTCCAAACCTTGTAAAAATATTTTCCTTTGAGACAACTTTTAACATCATGTCTAGCTTAAGAAGATGGACTTAAGCAGTTCACTTTGTTCAATGTAATCAAAGTCTTACATTTCAATATTTCATAACTTGTCCTTCTAACAAAACATTATAATATAGTTCACAATATCAATGAGATAATATATTTTTCTTCATTTCATAAAACTATTTGTAATCAATCATCGTGAAGTTTGAATTTCCACCATAGGTCTAGTTATGTTGAAACAGTTTCCTTTTTGGAAGTATATAAAAAGTCAATTGTTCCAAAACTCTAATCTTAAGTTTAAAAGGCCATTTAAGTATTATTCTTTTCTATCTAAACACTTTTTAAGAAAAAGATAAATTTTCCCCTTTTCTTTCTTTTAGCTGATGTTTTATAATTTTTTTAACTCCAAATTCACCAACAAGTTTTCAAAATCTATTGAGCTTTTCGCGCCGCAGAGAAAATAAATAAACAATAAGACAACTAAAAAATAGCTACAACATGACAATATTTAATAATTTGCAACATGACAATGTTTAATAATTTCACAGTCNATAATTTACAACATGACAATGTTTAATAATTTCACAGACAAATCTACCACCAAACATTAATTTCACAAAAGAACATTTCCAATATCTATAAACATTAATTTCAAAAACATGTTTGAAACATAACACCTCCAAAACTTTTGTCCTACCTCCTACGCGATCTAAGTCAGCAATATTCTATTAATAATATCTTATACAAGATTACATAAGTCACATGTTTGGACAAAAGTCATGGGTAAAGGTATCAAGATTCAAGGTTGTTAGGTATATATGTTTTTTTATAGGATCATTTTTGTTTTCTTGCATTTGGGTGGTGGCATATTTGTAGAATTAGTAATTGTTTGAATCGTCTCATAATAATTTATATTTTTAGAAAGTAAATATTTCAATGCATTTATTTTAAATCTGCAACACGCCCTCTTACATGTAAACATTTTATTTTATTTTCTAAAATCGTGACAATGAAACTTGAATACTTAGGGGTCGTTTGATTTGAAGATCAGTTATGTTAAGATTAATATAATTATGTCGAGAATAGTTATATAATAATAACAATAACAATCCAGTATAATTTCACAAGTATGGTCTATGTAAGGTAATGTATACGCAAACTTTACACCTACCCTAAGGGTAGAGAGACTGTTTCCGAAAGACCATCGGCTCAAGAAGATGAAGAGAAACAATAAACAGTAACAATAACAAAGGTGATAAAGATAGTACCTACAGCCGATCAGAAAAATAGATAAAAAAGGCAATAATAGTATCCAGTAAAAATGGCAAGATAGTAGGAAATTGGAGCAGAAAACTAGTATGAAAACAACATGTACTACTAGCAGTCTAAGTCAAGACACTATCAGACTAGCCCCAAACCCGGCACAGAGTAGTAAACCGCTCGACTACCTACTAACCTTCAACCCTAATGCTCGACCTCTACATCTTCCTATCAATGGCCATGTCTTGATATTATTAGTTATCCTGGTATTATTTCTTATCGATTATTTGGTATGTTGTATTAATCATAAGATTATCAATTTTACTACTTTATCCGTGAATAACTTATCCTGAGATTACTATTCCACCCTCTGGCAAGTATAAGTTATCCCAATACTATTTTTAATCATGTATATATACTTATTTCAGGATTAGTAACCAAATAAAAAATAAGACGATACTAAATTTTTGTCCCAATTTTTTTTTAGTTTATCCATCATATCAAACCACCCCTTACATGTTCTAATTAGAGTTAAACTGAGCGAATCTTCAAATTTTAAAAAATAAAATAAATATATATATTTATTTATTTATTTATCTTGAGCATGCAACACAAAATTATTTAGCGGCTCATGACTCATGAAGGTTTAGTCACTATAATTTCTTTGGTGAACTTAATTCTAGCATAATGAATTTCTTTTCTTGGCCCAAATTATCCCAAATTTTTGTCTCGTGAATTTATTAATTCCAGCAAGAAATGACCTGTTTTTCTTGACCCAATTCGAATAAATTTAATTTGTTTAGCAATATTCCACATTATTTCTACCAATATAAAAATAAATTCCAAAGAACAAGAGGGGGTGGGGTTGGAAATTGGTTTTTCTTTTTTTAGGGAAAAATTGGTTATTGCCATGACATATAGTGGCAAGTTGCCAAATAGTCTAGCACTGACTGATCTATTGTGCGGACCAGCTAACACTTTCTTTTGTTGCTTTTTTCTCTCTTTAGACTCTCAACACTCTCTCTCCACCTATACATACATATTTTCTGTATGTCACTTTCGTGTTTTCACAAGTCTATACATGTGGGGTAGTGGGGTACTGGGGTTAAGAGGGTTACTCCATAGATTGGACCTTGAAAATGCAAGATTTCAGCAAATCTTGGACCCCACCATTATTATTTTTCTAGATAGTGATCTATACACTATATTTGCCTAATTTTTCCCCACACAAAAAAAATAAAATGAACGTGGCTTACGCGTTTGTTTTAACTTATATTTTTACCTTTTCTTCATATTTATGTGTTTAATTTGGCTTCTTCTTCTAGAACTATGGTTTGTCTAAAAACAGTTAGTATTTGTAGTTGGAAATGAAAGTGGTGGTGGAGCTTTGTTCCATGTGCTATACTTGGTAAGAGTAAGTAATTATATATTTTTTCTTTATTAGCCAAACTTTCTTGCTTTTTTTCTTTTCTCTCCTCCTGTTTTAAAATTGACTTTTGAGGGGACTAATGTTGCAATCTTATCTTTGTTTTAGTTGCAGTTTATCACTTTTGTGGGTTGGCTTGAAATTGACTAGCAATTAAGTTTTCTTTATTGGGTGTTAGCTGTTTCTAAACAAGATTGGAACCTAAAGCTTTGATCTTGGTGGTGAATTTGAAGTGGGGTTTCAATTTTTTGGAGGTGAGTTGGATGTCAAGCTTTGATTTTTACTTATGATGTTTTGTACTTTTGCTTACTGTTTGTTGGACTGTTTGGCTTGACATGTTTTTATGTTTGCATTCCTTTGCAATTTGTTGCAGTTGTTTATATTGGCTTTTTTTGGTTCTTGAAATGCAATTAGGATCTGCTTGAACCCTATGAGAAATATAACAATGTTCATTCTTCTTTAATTCTGTTTGTTTCACTGTTTGTACAAATGCACCACAAGATTTTACACAGTGTGTTGTAACTCATTATTTGGTCAAGTTTCAATCTTTGGAGTAATTATTGGTAAAGATTGTTTCTTCTGGTTGAAGGAGAGCTTTGGAGTAACGGTAAAGTTGTCTCCGTTTGACGGTCTCGGGTTTGAGCGTGGAATCAGCCACTGTTGCTTGCATTAGGGCCGACTGGCTACGTCACATCCCTTTGGGTGCGGCCCTTCCCGGACCCTGCATAAACGCGGGATGCTTCGAATTGTTTCTTTTGGTTCATGCCTAAAAATTCTTTTGCATCAACTGTTTGTGTCTCTTCCAGCTATTGGGAAGAGCAAAGAACTTGCACCTCAAGATTTTTCTAGAAGTTCTAATATATCTCTATGGTATAGATTTCTGTTTTTGAAGTCTCAAAACTCATTTGTCTCTGTCAAAGATATGATCATTTTCTCTATTTCAGCTGTTATCAAGTCTGAGACTTATTCTGTATACAGGGTTGTAACTCATTATTTGATCAAGTTTTAATCTTTGTAGTTATTTAATTGGCAAATATTTTTTTCCCCCTGATTCATGCCTAAAAATGATTTTGCATAAACTATTTGTTCCATTTGATTTCAGGATATTTCCCGAAATTCGAATTGGAGTGTTACAAAAGCTGGTGGATTTTGGTTTGTTTGTATAACCTTATTTACACAGTGGAAGGTGAAAGAATAAAGTTCATTTATCTGCCTTCTAATGTTTAACCATCTTGGAGGTGGAATATGGAAAACCGAAACATGGACAAACCTTCTAATAGAGAAGGTTTATCGCACTTTGTGAACAAGGAAGAACAAGCAGAGGAAAAAAGTTTGTCAATAAAAGAGTCGGAACCATACCACCTACTTAGACTTGGAAATCCACATTTTACTGAAAACTGCACTCAGAAGTTGTTCTTTCATACTTCTCTTGGCTTACAAAATAAGCTTCCGAAGCATATAATAAGTTTCGATGAAAGATACTTCCTTCGCTGCCTTGAATTGATACATATCCATTCCTTAAGAGTAGACACATGCAATTTCTCTTCAAAAATGCAAAATTTATCAAAGAGTCTAGGTTCAAGAGAGATTAGCAATGAGAATATCTGCGCTAATGGCAATCTGGCGATTGAATGTCCTCAAGCTGCGGGGGCTGAGAGCTATGTCGCGGACTCTTCTGGAGAGTGGATTCTAGGTGCAATAACTGGTAGTAAGAGTATGCTGAACATTTTAAACAGTCCTTTACTTAACCAATTGGGCTCCGTAAACTGTACTGTTGATTCTGGGAAGGAAAATATACATGATAGTGAAGAAGTAGTGTTTTCTGATTTCATGAGCTCTCCCGGTGGTTTTAGTGTCAGTTCATTGGAGAAGCAACAGAAGGAGATGACAGTTCCGGAATATCACAGAAGGGCTCTTTCTGTATCTAGTACAACTTCGACATGCTCAGACCAATCTTTTCTTTCGGCAGCTGCCCCTATTTCTCAAGGAATGCTCCAGAGGAGATGGAAAAACGGTTTACCACATTATGTCTTTTCCGTAGATGGTACAAAGGATGTTTATACAGCTGATTTGCTGAAGATTGACTCACCTGATGATAAGTTTCTGGATTATGTTTACACATTTCATTCACGACAAGGAGGTAAAAAGGAACGTGCCTTCTCTGCAAGGGAATCACATCTTATAGGTAAAATGACGGTGTCAACTTCAGTTACCCTTGGCTCAACCAAGTCGGAGCTTATGGAAACCCGATTTGTTGTGTTTGGTTCAATGGATGAATATATGGATGAGATACAAACAAGTCATGTCCTCAGGAAAAACAAAAGATTGGCAAAGAAAGTAACCGATGTGTTCAGGACTAGTCAGTCTTACAAGCAGAGAAGCTTGTCCAAGTTCGGGGGAACAAGTGCCATTCTTGAAGATTCTTGTTGGATGCCATCCATAGATATGTATGATGATTACTATTCATGCGGCAACGCTCTTTTAGATCAACAAATTCCGCCAAATTTCGAGTTGGCTGCCATTGTTACGAGAGATTGTATTTATGACAGCTCTAAGGAGGCAGAGACGGGTGGCTGGGGTTTGAAGTTTCTCAAGAAACCCCCGACTGGAAGTAAAACTGCAACTCCTGGGACGCCAGTGGAGTGTTGTACGCGTGGCACCAGTGAATGCTCAACAAGCATGGATGTTATAGTTCCTTCCGGTTTTCATGGTGGACCGAGAAGCAGAAATGCTGGGCCATCAAGCCTGTTGGAGCGGTGGAGCTCCGGTGGGCATTGTGATTGTGGAGGCTGGGATGTCGGATGCCCCCTCACAGTGCTAAAAACTGGAGCTGAAGCTTCATCACAAATTACATCTGGAGAATGTCAAACTTTTGATCTCTATATACAGGTCAGCCCTTTCACCTTTGGCATGTGCACTTTAATATTTCCTCTTCACTCTCATTTCTAGTTTCTGCTAAAGCTGTCTTGCGATCGAATTAAAAGTTTTTATTCTCTACGTCGCTCATCAAGCAACTGTGCATTTAAATAAGTGGATCATCAAGATGTCACTAGCTAATCTTTTCTTCTTTGTCGATTTTGTAGGGTTCAAAACAAAGTGCACCAGTCATGAAAATGGCGAACATCCACGATGGTTTGTATTACATCCATTTTCATTCCACTCTATCAGCTTTGCAGTCGTTTGCCATAGCTGCCGCTTTCATTCATAGACATAGTCCTTTCCTACGACCGAAACTGTACAGGAAGTGAAGTAAGTGAACCAAAGGATGATATGTGTTGTTATAGTTTTCTACTTTAAAATGAAGTCAGACAAATTGACTGCTAGAAATGGTTCAAAGATATAACATCTGATTTTCTTTCATGTTATATTTATTTATCTTAGCAGGCAGATTATTAGATAGGAAATTCGTTAGCTCAAGTTATTATTTTGTTACTGTAATGAATGATACACTTTAGAAGCAGTAGTCAGTGTATAAATTGTCAATGGGATGGGGGAATCCTTTTGTACTGTAACAGTTGATTAAGTGACTGAAACATATTCAGTTTTGATTGGTTTGTTCCTTTAGTCTTTAATGCAATTTTCAGGTATCAATTGAAACTTTAGTTATGTTTCATTTTCAATCTCGTCTACCCTTGATTGTATGTAGGACTTTGGCTTTCCTTTCCAATTTTCAAAATTGTCAACNAAAATAAAAAAATAAAAAAAAAATAAATAAGATCACATACTGAGTGTCAATGTTAAACTCAGAATCCGTTTGGATTGGAGTGCTTTTAAGCCCATTTTGTAATGTTTATATAAAAGTAAAAAAAATACTTTTAAGTATTTATTTTTAAGCTAAAATGACAAAAACACGCCAAAAGTTATAATTCCTAACTTATGGCTTAAAAGTCACTTAAAATTAGTCCATCCAAACGGGATCTCAATCATGCAAACTTATTTGTGCTAATCATGCTGGCAAGTTCTACCTCTAACTGAGACCCTCAGTTTATTTCTGCTATGAGTGGCAAACTTGCAGGTCGAGTCGGATATGGGCGGGTCGAAAATTATTCGGCACGACTTATATTTAATACGGATAAAAAAAGGTTAACCGGCGGATAATATGAATATCCATATAATCCATGACTTCTTGAATATGATCACTTTTGGGAGAATTATTAGTCTTCCAAACTTGAGTAACTCTTAATTTGAGGCTTTAGAAATGTAAATGTTAAATAGATTAATATCTATTTTTTAAGTGGATAATATATTTTTTATCTATATTTTACCCGTTTTTAAAAAGTTCATTATCCAACCTATTTTTTAATGGATAATATGAATGAATAATTATTTTCTTTTAACTATTTTGCCACCGCTAATTTTCTGCATTCACTTTAGTAGTTTTCAAGACTTGTATGTAACTATTAAGAGTGAAGATTTTTTGCATAATGTGAATATTCCACCTAAGTGGGATTTCTACCTGTTTCTTTATGTTTAAATTGCAAGTGTTTCCATGCATTTTGTTACCTGTAGCGTTGAGTGCTAAGTACTTCGATTAATAGTTTACGAATAGGAATAAATTTTTTCTTTTAGAGTCACTCTTTGCTTGCTTCTTTTGGCCAATTCAACGGGTGAGCGGCCGTGTTATGAAATTAGCAGAGGCTTATATGAGGGAAAAAAAAAAAAAAAAAGAGTTGCTCTTGTGAGCTAAGTCACACTATAAATCGCCTTAAAACCTTAGTCTGTAATATTTTCTATGTAATCATTGTAGTTTTCGTAAACAAAAAAAATAGAAAGAAGCAAAAAGAACTCCAAATTTTTGGTAACAAGATGTTAAATTCGTGAAGTGAATTGATTGCATTTGATAATTAAAAGTTGTTTAAATAAAAAAAAAATGCACGTTAAACTAATTAAAAATCCATTTGTTCATAGATTTTTTTTCTTTTTTTTCTTTTTTTTAAAAAAAAATGTGTTTGTCCATGAAATTTTCGATTTTTTTCCCACTCACAAAATTGCATATTTTTTTCAATTGAAATGCATATCTAAATATAATTTTAAATTCCAAATACATTTTTCAACTAATTCCAAATACTATTTTTTTCTAGTAATTTTATGTCCCAACGCCTACTAATAGAAACACCCAAATTTAGCTTTTTTCATATTGCGAAAGAAACTCCGTCTTTTGATGGACCTGTTTGGTTTTCACCATATTATAAGCTAACAAGAAGGAGTAGAAAAAAATAAAAAATGTACTATACTTTCATTATTTGCTTTATTATGAGTATATTTTGCAGCGTACCTTGAGAAAAGCTGGTGAGACAGTGTTCTCTGTTGTAATGCTGCTCGGTGGGCCGGGCCTGAACCGGACCGGACCGGGCCCGCGGTCCTAACGGGCCTGGTGGGCCTGGTGGGCCGGTCCTGGGTGGGCCGGTCTTGGTGGGCCTCTGAGCCCGTCACGGGCTGGTCTCCATGGTTGAGCCCACGAGCCCGGGACCGTTTGGCCCGGGACCGGCAGGNAAAAACCCGCTAGGCCCGCGAAGCCCACGAGCCCGGCCCGTTAAGCACAGGACCATGTGGGCTTAGGCCCGTCACGGGCCGGTTCCACCCATTAGGCCCACGAAGACCGGGACCGCCAGGCCCGGGACCGCCAGAGCCCGGGACCACGAAGCCCGGGACCGCGAGGCCCGGCCCGTTAGGCCCACTAAGGCCCGGGCCCGGGACAAAATACAGCCCTACTCTGTTGACGAAAAGAGAGACAATTGAGAGGAAATAGTAAAGACATTGTTCTGTATTGTTTTGAGAAGTAAAAGACTGATTTCCCAAACAGGAATAAAGAGATACGGGGTATATTCTGTGGTTGTATGAGCCGTTGGATCGATGAGGTTGAATGGCCATGATTAATCAATTAATTAGCGGTTTTGATGAAATAATCTGACGCTCTACGTTTGGTCATGGTGCCTATTCTGATAAAGAGTCCTCGTTTTGTCAACATATCCAAGATGCTAAAAAATTACACTCGTGTACGAATATGATATGACACGTGATCATCTAAAGGAAAGACACGTGGAATTCAAGACGGGAATAGCTGAAGACCGAATACAACCATTCCACTTGTCACCAGAAGGGATAACGTTCATAAATGTGTATTAAATGCTCTGCACCCGGTAGCATTTAATAAGGAATATTCTGCAGCATTAAGAGCGATGACCCATTATAGAGAATTTGGCATTTATGTTCACCGTTACATCTTCATCAATGGCCCTCATAATTGACATTAAAGGAGGGCACGATCCTAGGACCTCTTTCCCTAGATACAACTATAAATAGTGAGCCCAGTTATCATTGTAAAGGACACAAATTTTCTGGCTAAACTTATACTACATTCTATACAAAGCTTAGTACAATCTTACTTTCCCATTTTTTTTATTTCATCATTGCTGTGCCTGAAAACCTTGTTCTCGGAACAGTCATCTCTGTTGTTTCATCTACATCTTAAGGTTAAGTATTGTACATTTTTTCAATTATCGCATTATTTCAGGTTCAAATTAGTTCACTTGTCTAGAAACCACGTATAAATTCAACTGTACCGTTTTACGGGTAAACAGTTTGGCACCCACAGTGGGGCCTAGATAACCGTGCAATTAAATTGATCCTTGCCTTTTTTACTAACGTGATTTGATTATTTTGTCTTAGAAAAAATCACAAAAAATGGCAAATAACACTGTTAACAACACGCGCAACCTTGATATTCGAGGGGATCAACCTCATTTCGAGGATTCAATCAGTGACACCCGCAATGAGGAGAATGATGCCACGCCGGTGCATGACAGGCAGGACCCTCGACAGGTTCGGGAGACAACTCCCGATGATGCTGATGAGGAGCATGTTGTGGATGCGGTGAGGGTCCTGCAAGAGTAACATGCGATCATTCCAGGCCATCTCACGCGACATGATAAGGTTATGACGGAGCTGAAGCAGGCGCTATCGGGAGCTTCGAATAATGCAAACAGACGAGATCCAATTCCTCCCGGTGTTCCTGCAAACCAAACAACGCAGAGAGTCGACAACAACACTCCCAGGGGTGAAGTTAGCTTCGTCGGGGCTGGGGGGAGCAGATCCGGTCTCAACAACGAGAACGACCCGTTCAAGAATGAACTTTTACGCTTTATGAGGGAAGTAAATGCCCGCATGGACCAAATCCCGGGTGCGCCACCAGTATTGAAAGGCTCGGACTCGAAGAAGTATACTCAATTACCGTACAAGCCGAGTGCGGCACCAGAACTAATCCCGAAGCGGTTCAAAATACTTGAAGTGCCAAAGTATGACGGGACTTCAGATCCACAAGAGCATATTACCACCTACACAACGGTGGTAAAAGGAAATAATTTAGCTCCTCAGGAAATTGAATTTGTGTTGCTAAAGAAATTTGGAGAAACTCTCACGAGGGGAGCTCTAACGTGGTATTCATTATTCCCCGAGCATTCCATAGATTGCTTTGAGATGCTCGCAGATTCTTTCATCAAGGCTCATGCCAGGGCCAGAAAAGTACAAGCCCGGAAGGCTGACATATTCAGGATCGCACAAGGAGAATCTGAATTATTACGAGAGTTCGTTACTCGATTCCAGAAAGAAAGAATGTTGCTCCCGGCTGTCCTAGATGAATGGGCAGCTGAAGCATTTACCAAAGAATTGAATCCGAGAAGCTCAAACGCTTCCTGGAAGCTGAAAGAGAGCCTGCTTGAGTTTCAGGCAACAACTTGGGCAGATGTTCACAACCGGTACGAGTCAAAGATAAGGATCGAAGATGGCCAGGTCGGTTCTACATCAACGGCCAAAGGACGGGAGAAGAGCAGAGAAAAATCAAAGAATGACTACAACACAAATAGACAGACTTCGAGGGTACGAGCAGACTGAAGGCCGTGGCAGAAACTTCCGGGCAGCAAGCAAGTTCACCATTGACAGAGGGACCGATCGTGGTCGAAATAATAGATCACTTCAGGATAAAGAGACGTCAGGGTGTCAGGATCCTTCTTACCCCAAGTTATCGGAATATAACTTCAACGTCAGTATAATGGAGTTAGTATCAGCCATGAGAAACATTAAAAAGGCACGATTCCTGAGACCTATGAGATCCGATTCTAGCCAGAGGGATCCCAACTTATGGTTTGAATAACATAGGACGAACGGCCACCGAATAGGGGACTGCCGACACCTCCGGGAAGAGGTGGCAATACTATTGAAGAATTGTCACCTCAGAAAATTCTTGATTGACCAAGCTAAGAACAATTATGGTCGTAATAGAGACACCGCTGAACCTTCGAAAGCAGGAGAAGAACCCCCACGCCAAACGACAATATGATCTTCGGAGGGAATGAGATTAACGGGGTCACCTTTTCGGCAGCGAAGAAGATGAAAGTATCAATAACTCATAGTAAAAGAATCCGGGAAGACGATATCACTTTCACGGAGGAGGATGCAAACGAATTGTTGTTACCACACAACGATGCACTGGTAATTTCTTTAAATGTGTTGGATTTTAAGATTAAACGTGTTCTAGTGGATCTAGGAAGTTCGGCTAATATCATACAATGGAGAGTATTGAAGCAAGCTAAACTTACCAGAAGCA